TCCCACACCCATGTGATAACCTTTCTAAAAATCTATGTCAAATTTAATAGTGATCTTTTGAAATCTTACACACACAAATAGAAAAAGGTTTTATAAGATTATTTATATATATATACATATATTGTCGTCAGGCATTATAAAAATAATAAGTAAAACTTAACAAAATATACTAATAATTTCAATTAGTTAATATTTTATCATTCTTCAACTATTCCATCGTATGCAACTTGTCATCTTTGGATATTATGAGATGGAGAGAGATAGAGAGAGAGAGAGCCTGTCCGGTATTTGTTTTCTCACTTTGAGAGAGAGAAAAAGAGATGAATTCTTTATTAGATGTTACTCTCCAAAAGGACCCGTGTCCACTTCTCCGAGAAAGCACTTTGACAGAAACCAGAGTAGATTTTCTAAAAAACCACTTTGGTTTTATTGTGAATTACGATGAGAAACCGCTCTTCCATTAATTTTGAAAGCTTGTGATGTGAGCCTTGGTGGTGTTTTAGTAAAAGACAGAAATACAGTCCACATGTCGGGCGATATTATGTTGATATTTTTTATTTTTATTTCTTTTTTCATTCTTATGTTATCCCCAGTTTAAAAAATCTAACTTTTGAATTACCTGAAACATAAAAAATACCTAAAATTGGGTAACTCAAAAATCTAACTTTTGAATGAAAGATGTTTTTAGCCCAGCTTTCGAACCGCCTATAATAATAAAAATGAAATAAAAGAGCTAGTAAAAATAGGACCTTAGCGTATATGAATGAAAATATGGACCATACAGTAACACCTTATCTTTGTCCAACAGAAGAGTTAACTATTAAATAGTAAAATTCTTGACGTATTTTAATAAATTTCCCTTTGATTACTTTTATTAACAAAATAGTCCTCCACATCAAAAGAAATTCGCTTAACATCATATATTCATATAATTAAAATAATTATTGACTTGATCACTTTATGTAAGTCAATTCAATATTACCATTATCATCATTCAAACTTTTTTTCAATTAATTGGGATCGCTATACAAATCCTGATCTGCTATAGGTACAGTCAAATTAATATTATCATCATCATCAGCAAAACTTTTTTCCAATCAATTGGAGTCGCTATATAAATCTTGGTCTGTTATAGCCTCATAGGTATACGATTCATGATAAGTTTTGACAAAATTTTATATTGTGGGATGTGTTAAGGAAATGTTTAAAATCATCACCTTTCTTAGACCATAAATCAAATCAATATAAATTTATAAAATATCACTCTATGTTAATATAGAGCATTTTCCATTAATTTAACTTGGTACAGATATGTACCGCAATTTTGAGCTAAAATTTGGCCCAATCCCAATACAAGAAAATTTAAGAAAATTATCTCAAGAAAAACCAAATGCACTTTTCATTAAAAAAAAAAACCATTGTGGTTTATGGTTATGATTGGAGAGCATAATTATAATGGAAAAAGTTTATATAAGGTGTATGATCATGAAAAATAAAATGATTTTAAGTCTCAAAAATAATACATTTTATAACATATTATTTACACCGTCTATTTTCAAGATTTTCATATATTTATAGATCTACTTGATTTTAATCATTTTTTAAATTTAAAATTTTATAATTAATTATAAAAATAAATTTTAAAATAATCCTAAAAACATTTTATACCAAAGTTATATACATGATAAAATTTGAAAGTGCACTTTATCTCCGAGGCTACGGATGCATCCGACACTTAGTTATAATTTGGCCGAGTACCTCAATCAATGTTTGAGCCGCCGTATGAAAGTGGGCGAAATACAAGAGAAAAAACGTTAAATGGTGAATCTGTCGGTGTTAGAGTGAATCTCTTGGGATTGCGCAATACTTGCAATGTTGAAAAGCAACAGTATTTTAAAATACGGAACAAGTACATTGATTGCCAACTGACTGCTCCCGGGCATGACCGGCGCATCGTTGATTTAGTCGGTCATGAAAAATTCAAAATTTAGGGGTGGGGTTTGTATAATGCCGAAACTCTAAACAATTACAGTAAAGTGCACCTTTAAATAGTATCAAGCAATGTGCTTTCATTATTGAAAATCTTTGTAATAGTTTTAAAATATATTTTTATATCTAATTATAAAATTTAAAGCTTCAAAAATAGTGTAGATCAAGCAAATCTATGAAAACTTGAAAATTGCTGGTCCAAAAATGCATTACAAGATGCACCATTTCTAAAACTTAAAATCCTTTTTTTTTTTTCATGTCCATGCATCTTGAGCTCAAGATCATCAATTTGAGAATCAAAACAACATCTACTAGTAAAATTTTTGAAATGTACCCAATTTTGATTATTTAGAGCCTCACATTTATACAAACTTTTTCCAAATTAAAAATAAAAAAAATGAACAAAGGAATTTAGGGTTAAATATTTTAAAAAACAATAAACACAAAGAAAAGAGAAAAAAAAGGTTCAAAGGGTTGCTACTCGCCTCGCCTCTCCTCTTTCAAGTCTTGGGCCATATCCAAATGAATTAAATATTGACCAAAACCCCCAAGTCATGAAAACGCGCGCTATGAAAAACGAGAAAAAATGTCTCACTTGCCGACCCTAACTCCCTATTTAAACCCACATACACGTAACTAACATAGGGATCAAAACCCTAAAACCCACTCACTGGCAGTCTTCTTCTTCCCTAGTGCTTCCTTCTCTCTCTCAGAACTTGTGTTACTAGTGTCTCCATTCTCTCTCTAATAACCTTACCATGGCTCTAGTACTTGAAAATCCATTCCCGAAATCCTTGTCGAAAACTGGCCCGACCAAGTTTTCTGACGATGGAAAGCTGCTAGAGCTTGTAGTGAAAGAAGGATATGGAGTTAAGGGTATGGTGGATTCAGGCATAGCAGAATTGCCTCAAAGATATATACACCCACCACATGAGAGAATAGTGAGGAAGGAGGCCATTGATGCTCTTTGTTATTTGGCGAAACCCATCGATCTTTCGAAGCTTGGAAGAGAGGGAGGAGAGGAGGTAGCTAGAGCACTTTGCGAGAGTGCTGAGAAGTTAGGGTTTTTTCAGGTTGTGAACCATGGGGTGCCTTTTGAGTTGCTTGAGAGTATGAAGTGCGCCACAAAGAGGTTCTTTGAGATGCCTGTTGAGAAGAAAGCGATGTATCTGAGAGGGAAGACGCCATGTCCAAATGTGTTTTATGGCACAAGCTTTGCTCCTGATAAAGAGGTGTGTTTGGAGTGGAAGGACTACCTTAGCATGATCTACATGAATGATGAGGAAGCTCTTAAGTACTGGCCTGAGCAGTGCAGGTCCATCTCTCTCTCTCTCTTTCTCTCAAGTTGTTTAGTTTTTGTTTGTTCACTTTTTTTTTTTTTTTTGTCTAAAAACGGTGAGAATTCTAAACTTCCTCTTAACCAGTCCCAAGCCCAGGAAAAGGAGGTAGGTTGAGTTAAGAAGATAGCCAACGTAAAATTTCGTTGAAACTTTTCGTGATAACGACCCCAAATAATTGAAAAAAAAGCTCTATTGATGATAATGATGAGCTCTTTCCCTCGTGACAAAAAAAAATTTGACATAAATTTTTTACCTTCGACTAAGTTTCTATCCATCTAACTCTTCTCCCTCTCTCTCATATTTTACCTCTACTTGTGTTCTTTATTCGTTCATGGACTTGTCCAGCGGAACAATAACCTGTTTTGTTGGAACAAGCTAATCTCTCTCTCTTTTCGTGAACTCTCTTCCCTTCTCTCTCTCAGGAAAATCAAGGACTCCCTTCTACTATCTTTCTTTGTTAGGTTGAACTTTCGACTTTTGAAAATAAAACTTCTGAACATTTTAGCTGCGTGAGTTGGCATGGAAGGGGTGAATTGCATTCTCTCCCTCCTGTTGGGGATGTTGGTTCCAAAAATAGGGGAAAAAATGGAAGTTT